AAACATGCGGTAACTGCGGATCGATCAATAAAAAACTTGGTGGATCCAAGATTTTTAGATGTGATTCTTGTAGTTTAGAAATAGATAGAGACATGAACGGTGCCAGAAATATCTTACTCAAACGTATCACAGAGGGTCAGGTTAATCCTGACTTTGGGACTTGAACCTGCATGGGATCCGATCTGATAGTAAAGACTAACTTTATTTATGATTTTTGGATTCAATTTCAAGAGTACGTTAAAATGGAGATAACAATTATCGATAGTGTAAAAACTTTGTATGATGAAAGATTAGTGGTCATGTCAAAAGTGATACTGCACGAAAAAAATAACAATTAAACGAACTATACCAATTAAAAGCAATAAAAAAAAAAAATTTAACAAATTATTTGTTATACGTATTATTTTTTTTTTTTTACTTTTATTGTCCGGAGCGAAGCGTAGGACTTAGGGATGTTAAATGATCTGTCCCAACTGACTCGACTCCAGAAGTCGAGTCAGTATCAGACTCAGACTTAAGTTTAATCATGTGACATAAATTTAATACATCAGAGATAGTGATAGCGATAACGATAACGATAATAATAAATCCTTTATTTAATAACAGTTAAGAAAAAAATAAAAAAATTTCCTCTATTTAATATAATATTGAACGAAAATAAAGAAAATAAAAAATAAAAAATTTTTTATTCTAAAATTCCTGACTCTAACCAGCTTTTCAAGCATAAAGAAGCTCTAACTGTCTGATCTAGAAGATGATTTTGGGTGAGATCAATAGTGTTCTTTGCTACAGAAAAAGATCATTCACAAGAAACACTAGTTGTTTGTAAAGCAAAGTAATCAGCTGCCATACAAGCTAAAGTCAGAAAATAAGGGGCATTGATTTTCCACCAGAGCAGAGGATTAACTCCTGGTTCGCATGGCAAGGAAAAATAAGATATTACTTCATTTTCTTCATTTTCTTCATTTTCATTTAGTTGTATAAGCTTTCGAAAAGCTTCTAATGGATCTAATTTAGGGGTTTTCTTCAAGTCATCTGTTTCATATAACAAATGAATAGTTTTTAATCTATCAGTAGCTAAGTTATGGTCAGTATCATAGAAACATCTAAATTTTATTGATAGATCCAAAAGGGTGGGAATAGCAGAAGTGTGAGAAAAATAAATCCAATACTCACTTAGTTTATCTTTCATTCCTTTGACTACTTCTTTATATATATAAATCTAAGGTACTATAGTGATTAAGGTGTGAGAGAAGACCCTGGATAATTATTCGCAAAGAGCCATGTGAGGGTTGTAAAGTATTTGATAAAGTCATAGTCACCTCATAAAAAGGTTTGAGAAACTGTATCATTTCTTTAATTACTTTCCAATTATTAGACTCTAAGTAATCATTTATTATATTAGGTCGAGATTGTATGAGGCCATCAGTAATGGCTTGAATTTCAATAAGCTATTTAAGCATCAAGTAGATAGAACTCCACCTTGTCTCTATATCAATTTCTGGATGAAGAAATAGATGATTTAAAATAGCAGCAATTCTCTCCATTTCTTTTAAAAGTGAAGGTAATTTTTTTAATTTATTACAAAAATAATGGGCCTTTTTAATTTAATTAAAATAATTTTTTTGGCCTTCTTTGACTGCAAGATTGATGACATATGCTGCGCAGTACACATATATAAAATTGGGATCTATAGACTTTTGGAGATAACGAAAACACATCATATTATTTCTCGTATTGTTATCTGTAATCTGATTACTTTTTGTCTTATTTCTAAATTATTAACAAGTTTAAGAACCTTTTCTCCAATATAATCACCAGTATGAGCATCATGTAAAAGAATGAAATCAAGAAAAAGCATTTTCATTGACCATTTAGCATTGATCCAGTGTATAGTAATTATAAGAAAAGGCTGTTGATTGCATGCAGTCCAAATATCAAGGGTAAGTGCTAATTTATTTTTGTTCATTTTTAAGATTTCCTTTATTTTTACCCTTGCTAAATCAAATTGTCTTTGAATATTAATAGAAAGCATTTGACGGCAGGGCATTTTGTAATGTGGATCAAGATTGGAGACTAATTTGATAAAAGAATTATCTTCAACCATAGAAAAAGGTTGTTGTTTAATAATAATCCATTTTAATAAATTGTAATTCAAAGACTCAATATGATTTCTTTCAGTATTTATAGTCATCGAATAAAGAAAAGGCTGATTTAAATCATCTTGCTGAAAATCTCTAAAGATAAGTGGATATTTTACTTTAAAATAATGATTTATGTTGAAATTGATATACCTTCAGCCCACTTATTTTGGCATATTTTACAAAGTTTGAAGGTTTCATCACTAAGTTCATCACTAAGTTTGTTGATATATTCATGAACTGGTACAACTTTTTGTCTAATTCTTAGGCATTGTTCTTTAGAGCGATTAATTTTAGCAGAATGCTTATGACGATTATATTTAATGGAATTCTTAGAATTAGAACCCTCTGAATAATCAGGTTCAGCAAAATTTCTAGTTTTCTGAAGAGAATTTTGAATATCTTCAGAAAAAGATTTAGTAGAGAAATCAGTAATCAAATAAGGTGTAGACATAATTTAGAATGTTATATTCATCCAAAGACAAACAAATTAATAGATGAGGAAGAGAAGGCAAGAGACTATATAATTTTTCATGATTTATGAATTAATGCAATAAGTTTATTATTATTATTAATTTTTTTTTATCTTGCATAGCGCAAAACTAAATTAGATTGCAATATAGTGTCTAGACTTATGTGGTTTTAGAGATTTCCATTATTAACAATGAATTCTAAAATTATATAAATAAAAGAGCAATCGCAAAGCCTTAAAAATACTTTTTAGCTAATAAAAATAATTAATAATAATTATTTTTATCACGGTCTAATCAGAATTTTTAAAGTTTTACGATCACTCTTTTCAGAATAGTTCAGTAGTTGTGAATATGGACTTATATTAGGGTGTTCCACACTAAATGATTTACAAACATAGTGTAGCACTATATAATTGGCCTACTATATAAGATTTTTAAAATTATGTCGATCAATTCATTACCTATAGCAATAGCATATTATCTTATAATAAAAACTGTGCATTTTTAAAATGTTATAACTTTCTTTCTAGTAAAGCTAATTTGATTCTGTAACTTGCAAACAATATAAAAATAATGTAGTTTTAAAACTATGTTAAGATATTTTTCAATTTATTTTATTAATTAGCTAAATCTATAAATTTAATAAATTTTAATAGTTATTTAACGATTAAATAATAGAGATCTGCTAGATTTTATATATTAATATTAAATATGGCAACATAGTTTTGAAGCCACACTATTTTTATATTATTTGCAAGTTACAAAACTAAATTTGCTTTATTAGAAAGAGAGTTATAACATTTTAATAGTAATATTTAAACGATTAGATTATAAAGACCTACTAAATTTATATATTAATAATATTAAATATGGCAATATAGTTTTAAAATCACACTATTTTTACATCATTTACAAGTTACAGAATTGAATTTTCTTTACTGGAAAGGTAATTATGACATTTTGAAAATACATAGTTTTTATTATAATAAATTTTTTTAATAAATTGATTAACAAATTTTCAAAAATCTTACATAGTGGGCCAATCATATAATGCTATACTATGTTTGTAAATCATTTAACGTGGAACACCCCAGACTTATATCTTGTGTGGCATGATCACAGCTTCACTATAAGATTGCTCTTTTTAAACTAGTAGATAGCAAACCTATTCTTATTTGAATCTTGGTAGCTATAAATATGCATTTATATCTTGTATTATTATCATGGTAAAATCATGATTTCACTATGAGATTACTTTTTTTTTTTTTAACAATACTCTTCGAATTGGATAAACAACTTGGTTATTGTAATTACCAAATTTATTGTTATTTATATAAATTTATTGATTCATACAAAACTGTTATTATTACTCCAAAAATATATTTGAATTTGTCAAAGAACTTTTATTATATTGGATTTAATATCTAAAAAACCATACTTAGCCTAATTCTACATCATGGACAAGAATAGGTAGTTCTTTTAATAAATAGGATCAATCGTGTACAGGGCTTAAACGACTATATTGAAATGCCAGCCATTCAAAAGTATCATTCTTGATTTATAAATTAAGTGGCTAGCATAATAAACAATAAGATGTACAATACACTAATTTTGATGAATCAAGAAAACCATTTTAAACATTTTAAACAATAAGCTGCAGGCTGGTAAATTACTATAGGATTTTAAGCCCTGATCGCATAGTGTGTAATAATTATAATTGACATTCGAGCATAATTCATATACAATGTTCACAATTTGGTGATTATTGGAGTCGACTTTAACCAACTCAACTCTAACCGACTTGTAAACTGACTAAACCGAGTCGATTAACATCCCTAGTAGGACTCATATTTCTACGCTCAGTGATAACCAAAACTACGTTTTTGATATTTTTACATCAAAATTATCAAAAACGTAGTTGTGGCATTTTCCGTCTGTAACGCCCCTGAAAAACCTGATCTGCGACATGCACAAATTAGATTTTCAGGGGTTGAGGCAATTAATCGAATATTTTAGGCTCCGGACTTATACCGGCTAGTTATTATTATTATTATTATTATTATATGATTTTTAATAAACTTTTTTCAATTAGTAATACAATCGCAACTCAAATTTAATCTCCTTTCGAACGAACAATTGCAGGTCGGAAGATCAGGTGACTGCGCTCTAGATTATTGGTTAAGGTATCATACCAATACAATAACTTGGCTGTTGCCACCGATGAACAAAGTCCGATGAATTTTGTCACCACATAAAGGAAATTGGTAGCACTAGACTGAAGCATGCACCAATGATAATTTGCCACTTTTATATGTAATACATGAATGTCGTCAAGCGAAAACCTACAATTTCGATTTTTGCCGACTCCGCTTTCTGATCCGATTCTTGATAATTTTAAATTAAGCACAACATATTTATATGGTGTGTTAAATCACATTTTTCGGGGTTTGATCTGTAAAATTTATTTCGGAAAACTCTCAATTCCTGGTTTTTGCGCAACACTCATTTTAAATTAATTTCGAAAAGTTTTTCCAATTTTCTTGTAAACTGAAATGGAAGATACCACACTGTCGGCTTTATGCAATTCTTTAGGAGCCATGATTATGGCTTTAATTATCGCTTATCATTACGTTGTTGTTAACGATAAAGATTCTTCTAAAGGGGAGGTTTTAAATGATACTTCTAAAGGTGTAGTTATTAAAGATTCTAAAGGTTTGATATTTGTCCTTAAAATTTGGTTTGAATTAGGCAATTCTTTTAATACTTTTGCTAAAATGCATCTATAATGATTTACATTTATGTATATATTATCATCAAAAACTAGCAAATTAATCGGTGCATGGTGCTCCATGTAAAGATGACTTACGCTCAAAAACCCTTCCCACACTTTAAATCTGTGGAAAAATTTAATTTTTAAAAACCAAAAATATAATAAAAACATAATAGGTGCAGAACACCATAGATCGATTTTAAATTTTAACTGTTTTGTATATTTTATGAACACGAGATATGAAAATGTGTCAGAATAGGACTGAACCAATATTAAACGATCGAGAATTATTGTTGAAAGACATTATTAATACGTCAAATAATTTATTCATTTTTTTTTATATATTTCTGCTAAAGTTTTCATATAATCAGAATTTTCTATACGTAAACTCTGAGCATCAGCCTGTGCATTTGGCAGTATTTCTATCTCTGATACCACGACATTTGTTGGTCTGGCAGCTACAAACACTACACATTCAGCTAAATAATTATGGTAGAATAAATTAGCAGCTAAAAATATATTTATTAAAATTTGAAAAATTAAAAACTGACCAACATCTTGAGGAATGAGAGGTTCGAAACCCGAATAATAAGCATTCGAAAATTCAGCGTTTCCATAACTTCTAACCAGTGTAAATTCACTTTTAACCGCACCTTTTAATAATTACACAAAAAAATGAATTTGGTAGATATGTAAATAAAAAAATTGTATAATAATTACCTGGTCTAACCAAAACAACTCGGATTTTGGTTGATAAAAGTTCTTTCCTTAGAGACCTTTAATAATGGCACATCCTTAACATGACGAAAATGGAGTGACATAGTGATGGCGCAAAAAATTTTGGCGATACCGTGATCTCCGGGCCAAATCGGAATGGAAAGTGTCTCGAAAATTATTTCGTTAAACTATTAATATCTGGATCTCAATGGTAATTTTCCAACGCCTTTCATTCCGATTCGTCTCGGAGATCACGGTACCGCCAAATTTTTGCTCCATCACTATGTCACTCGCGAAATGCACAATGTACGTGATTTAGTCCAACCAAATTTGTAGACCAAGCGTAATGTTAAATAAAACACAATAATAAATCGAACTCGGATTAATGACACCCACATATGCTAAAATTAGGGTTGTTAATGGGTTGGGTTGAGCTATTCCTTCACTCACTCCAACTTGGTTTGGGCTCACTCTGGAGCCACTCCAGTTTTGCTTAAAGCTGCTCCAGTTTACTCCAGTTTCACTCCAGCATATTTTTATCTCACTCCAACTTGAGTTAGGCTCACTCTGGAGTTGCTCCGGAGTATATCACTCCATTAACAACCCTATCTAAAATATTAGGCAAACTTTTGAAACTCTATACAGCTCGATTGGAATTAAATCAAGTGCACCATACATTTTTTCGCCATTTCAAGGGTGCTAATAGAGACATAAACACATCAAAAATGTTATCTCCATAGCAAATACTTTAAATGCGAAGGATATTTACTCAGTAATTCCTTCAATAGCAAATTTCGAACCAGCATTTCCGAATCCATGACTTCGTTTCCCTATAAAATATTAACGATTGGTTGATTAATTAAATATAGCTTATAAGCGATTTATGTAAATTATTGCATACCAGAAATGCTTCCCATATTAATAATATCCCCTGAATCTCGTTCCTTCATTTTTGGTAATACAGCTTGAGTCATATAGATTAGACCATAAACATTTGTTTCTATTGTTGCTTGAATATCTTTTTGAGAATTCTCTTCTAACGGATCAAAACCTAATGCTGTACCAGCCTATATAAAACTGACATTATAGATAATCTATGAAACTAGTGTTACAAATCGGACCAAAAAATGCAATCGATTAGTTGGCCAAAAAATTTTTTAAAAATCGATTAAAAATCGATTATAGCCGACTAATCGATTAATCGATTAGTTAATTAGTCGATTAACTGACTAATCGACTAGTTGGTATATCAAAATGGCTTTGATATAAGACCAAGGTATGATATATACCATATAAAACAACCAGTCGATTAGTCAACTAATCGATTAACTAACTAGTCGATTAATCAGTTAATCGATTAATCGTCAACAACCAATTAGTTGTCTAATAAAATTATCAATCGATTAGTTGCCAATTCGATTAATTAATCGATTTTCGATTTGGAACACTATATGATTAACGTTAAGGATAACATAATTCCATTAATTTTTTACCGGTATAGTAAATTATTAAGGATATGAGCTTTGAATTAGCTTTGGCAAACTCTAAAGCTATTGCTGCACCTATGCCTGATGAGGCGCCTGTACTACTAATTATTTTTTAAAGTCAATTATAATCTTTTGAGAGTGCCAACTCAAATAATTTAATGACCCACATTAAGACAACACGTTTCTGCAAGTTGTAAGACATTCTTTAAGAACCTCAAAAATTAGAAAATGACTTTAATTTTAGCGAGTTACACGAGAATTTAATTTAATGGGGAGGATTGAAGATCAAGGAACCCAGTGGCAAAAGTTTCAAAGTTGATATACCTGTGGTTACATAGTTGATAGATCGACAATGCACCCAAATCGGTGATGCATTTCTGTACTAGTGATCCTAGTCATTATATGTAAAATCGACTTAATAACACTGGATAAAGGTTTTCTCAACGAACCCAATCTCTACATTAAGCCCCAATTTTTGATTACAGCCGTTTTCCAAAGACATAAACAAGTATGGATCATTCACAATATTTTTCAGATTTATATGGCTTTCAAGAAACATTCTAAATGAATTTTTTGATTCCTCATATAGGTATATGGAAATATTCATGTCATTTGAAACTGCTGTAAATTCACATAAGAGCACTGTCAAGAGAAAATGAAACTTCGGGTTTTCAAGTTTACCATTTATTATTTACCAGATTTAGCCCACAAAAAATCTGATCAGTAACATATATGATATGCAATTATATATCATATATGGTTTTTAGGGGCTGAATCTGGTAAATAATAAATAGTAAACTTGAAAACCCAAAGTTTCATTTTCTCTTGGCTTAGTAATTGATAAGATTTATATTGAGAAAAAATAGTATCAATGCTTAAAGTGATTCCAATGTAAAAAAACTGCATATATGCTTGCAATATTATATAACTCTGTTCACATGATCATAGTCCAAAGACATTAATCTAAAAAAGTAAAGTAATTGAAGCCAAAGATAAAAAAAAAAATAAAGAGTAATAAAACCAAAATAGGGGTGTTCTGGATAAGGCTGTGTTAGTATACGATTAAATTTTAAGAATTCATATGGGAGAAAATAAAGAATGAAAAGATTAAGAAAAAATTGAATAATTTGAGAAATAAAAGTAAAATTACAATTGTCAAAGCCCCTAGTTATTGTCAAAATATTAGATTAGATGAGATAGAAGATGATGAATCAAACTCATAAGGGGAAAAAGAAAAATTTAGGAATATAAAGCTTTTGGAATGTAAAATTAAAAAATATTACCCAAGCCCCTAATACTATAGATTAGTCATTAAAATTTTAGATTAGATAGTACAAAAGTAATAGATTAAATTCATAAATGAGAAAAAAAAAAAAATTATTAAAGAAAAATTAAATACTTATATGATGCAAAAGCACAATATTATTGCCCACACCCCTAATACAATAAATTAGTTATTAAGATTAGATGAGATAGAAGGTGATGGAATCTTCCTGTAAAACAAAGATATATCTAAAATATTTATATAAAGAAAATTTTAAATTAATAAAAATATATCCATTGGATTAGTAATAAAACTTGATTGAAAAACTTTTAGAAAATTAAAATTGACCTTTTATAAAGAGAATTTCTCATCTGTTGATAAATACCTATATCTTTTCTTGTCTTCAAGCTATATGAAATTTTCGCTATCATGGATCAAGACAATTCTATATTTCAATATGAGTCAGAGAATGCCTATAATAATTTACTAGAATCTAATTCAGATTCTCTGTCCATTATGTCTTTTGAATCCTCTTCAACACTATATAATTTTGAATATTCAACATTATCCCCTAACCTTGCACATTTTAATTCATCATTATATGCTTCAAAATATTCAACCTCTTCACATAATTCCAAACAGCTTGCCTTGTTATTAGATAGTTCTGAAGATATTACTTTACCTTCAGATAATCTAGACCATTCTGATAATCTAGACCATTCTGATTCTTCAAATACTAATTCTCTATAAAGTACTAGAAAATATAAGTTAGTTTTTGCTACATCATCCAATAAAAAACCTAGACCTAGAAAAAGTTGGGTGTGGAAACATATGACTAAAGATAAATTAGTAAAAAAAGAAACAAAATGTTCAGTCCTAGTTAATCAAAATGGAAAAATAGAAAAATGTGAAGAAATGTTTGCACTTCTTACTAGTACAAGTACACTAGGAGCTTATTTACGCACAGTATATCATTTGTTAGAAAAAGGTTTGTTATTACTATTATCAGCCACATCTGAATAGCCAGCCTCTAAAAAACCTATTCAGATAGCTCAAAAAAACCCCACACAACCTACATTATTAGATACAATAAAAAAATCATCATTGCCTTCTAAAAAAAAAGATAGATTAACCTCAAGACTTCTAGCTTGGATTATTGATGATATGCAACTATTAAATGTATTAGAAAATAAAAAGTCTATCAATTTTGTGTATGAGGCTAAATCTCGTTACTAAGTTCCATGTAAAGATATATTTAAAAGAAAAATTTATGAAGCAGTTAACTTTGGAGAAAATAAAATTCACAACCTTTTTCAAAAAACAATGGATACTTTTTCATTTTCAACTGATCTTTGAACCAATAAACATAAACCGTATATTAGAATCACAGCCCATTAGCTTGATTCTAATTTCTACTTAAACCAAGTACTTATGACCATCGAAAAATTCCCTTATTCTCATAACAAAGAACATATTGAAGACTGTTTAAGACATAAATTTGCCAAATGGGATGTTTCAGAAAAATGTATTACTGGAACAACTGACAATACTTCGTTAATGGTTAAGGCAATAGCTAATCTCGAAGTAATTTATATTCGCTGTACAGCGCATACCTTTCAACTTTCTATTACTGATTCTTTAAAATCTAGTGAAATAACGATAAAGCAAAGGAATTGAATAGTTTTTTAATTAATAAAGATAAATATAGAGAAATATTAAGGAAAGCACAAGAAGAAATAAATGAAAAAAATAATTATGCTACAAGTTGAATGCAACTATTGAAGCCAGTAGCCACAGTATCTGTCACATGCTGGAATTCAACTTTTGTGCTATTGAAACTTTTATTATTGCTATATGATCCAATACAATTACTTGTTAAAAAGATGATTCAAAATGCTGATTAAGAAATTTGTAAAGATAGAAAAAAACTAGAATCCTTATTATTAAATGAAGAAGAATTGTTAGATTTTAAAGAGCTCATTAACTTACTAAAACCCTTTGCTTGTATAACAACTTTAATGGGTGGTGATACATATCCTACACTTTCTCTTATACTTCCAACCATTGCAACCCTTTAAGAACATTTGTTTTAAGCAGAACAAATGCTAACTCATCAAGTCATTTGCAATGTTAGGGATGAAATTGAACTTAATATAGGTGATCGATGGGAAGATCCAAAAATAGAAGGATATCTGGCAGCAATATTAGATCCTAGATTTAAAAATTTAGAATTCACTCCAGAAAAATTTGAAGGACTAAAAAATATCTCAGACAAAAGATGGTAAGGTTAGATAAAGATGAATATTCGGATGAACAATCGATAGAAAAACCAACTTCAAATTTAGCATTTTTTTTTAACAATGCCACTACCATCAAGAAATTTTCTTTAGTTGATACAGAACTAAAAACATATTTTGACATACCTCAAATGACATTATATGATCCTGATGATTCTGAATATAAAACTAAAAACCCACTTGCCTAGTGGCAATTGTATTCAAAAACGTTACTTTTACTTGCACAGCTAGCTCATCAGTACCTCGCAATTCCCGCAATGTCTGTCCCTTCAGAACGTTTATTTTCAATAGCCAGAAATATATTAACTGATAAAAGGAATAGGCTCCTTCCCAAAACTGTTTACGATTTGACTTTCTTAAAAGAAAATAATAAAAACTTCAATATCTACTCAGATCTTAAGTAGGCACACTTAAACAAACTATAAATGAAAATAGTTATATATATAAATTGATCAGTATTCTTAAATAAATATTCATATTTAGGAAGCTTTTATTCCGAATCCTAATCAAATACACTAATCAGATACAAACCATACACAATTTAAATAAATGTCTCATGATCAAATATCTATTATAGTTAACTTTTTCTAAGTCCGACTTGCCAATTAGAAATTTTGTATAAAAATAAATATAAAAATATTAATTTTCACTACACGCTTTTGATTAAAGATCTTGCAACTCTCGTTATAGTGTAACTTGTGAGACTTGTAGAGATAAAATTTTGACTATGCCAATATCGATACATGATTGGTGGTCTTCTATTACGTGATAAGTCAATTGACTTCTAGTTAAAATCGAATTTTATAATTAACTTGAGTCGACTTAGTCAAGTTGATTTTTTAAAAATAACTTGATTTACTACTATAGATTAATCTATCTATTTTTATCTGGGTTGCTATAACTTACCCAAATTAAACTACTACTTGGAAGTTACTAATCATTTTATATGACAAATAAGTATTTATTATATACTTTATATAATTAATTGCTATTTACTACTTCTAATGATTGGTTATCTCAAAAAAAGATCATCTATAATAAACTTAATTCAAATTTTTATACAAATTATCGCTGTTTTTGAAATAATTAAAAATGACAAAATTTACAAAAAAAAAAATTTATATAAAAATCTAAAAACCTGATTAGTTTAAAACAATAATCAATAATCAATTATGTATTCATATAATGTTTCAATATTCTAAACTAATTAGATTTTTGAGTTTTCATATAAAAATTTTTTTTTTTTTGTAAATTTTGCTATTCTTAACTATTTTAAAAATGATAAATACACCAAACATGTTAGAAATTATAATACAAAATAGCTTTTATTATATGAATTATAACAAGTAGAGCTCTTATCTATTATCTGTTTATCCATTTATCTATTGGATATCCAGATCTGAATTTATTCAAATATCTATTTTACTATTAATATCTAGATAATTATCTGAATATTTGTCAGATTATCTAGATACCAATAGTAAATGGATATCTGGATAAATTCAGATATAGATAAATGAATGACAGATTTATCCAGATTGGACCTCTAATAACAAGTTTATAAACTTAATTGAACTAGTCAAAAAATCATTTGGTTAATTTTTATCAAGCATCTTGGAAATTATAATAATATTTTATTAAGTGTCAAACTGCACTAATTAAAAAATCCAGGTTCTAAAACAACATGATACCCAGGTATATTGTATAACAAAAAACTTCTGTTAAAACCTAAAAAAATTCAAGAACATGTTCTTATTTATATATGCACAAACTCACTATAATGAAAAATAAACATAATCTGGATCCCTAATTTTAATAAACCCCCCTAGCGCACCCACAAAAATTTTCCCCTCCCGTGAATTTTGGCCAAGCAAATTTCAAGATCAGGTGTAACGTAACAAACGAAGCGAAACCATTTTTTACAAATAAACTGAAATAACTCGAAATTTTAATTAAGAAACCACCTTCTGCGGCCTAATTAAAAATGTTCCTTGTGAAATTTTACTAATAGCAGTAACCCTAACACTAACCCTAGCCTTACACTGTTCTCGCTCTAACCCTAATTATTACGCGGTTTTATATATTACGGGGGTAGGAAAATTTTTGTGGGTGCGCTACTAAAATAATTTTAATACTACATCGGACGATCAGTCAATATCTTTTATTCTCCTCCCAATTACTTTTTTTGTCTATAATCATTTTATGAGTATTTTAACTAGATTAAAACTCACTGGTCTAGTGCGACGGTTCCCCTTGTTATATCCTTAAAACTATTTAATGTATAGTTTTAAATTATTAGTGTATAATCGAGTAATTGTTTTGTACATTTGACCAATCGAATATAGGAAAATATGGGGTTCAAATTAAAATTTGGTGTCTCTTGCTAAGGCCCAATGCGTCGAATCCGCCCATATGTTGAATTTTATGTTATGCGTTGATCTTATAATCTGGTTGGGCAGTAATAGTGGACTGCCAAATTTTTATGCAATAGCTAATATTTCGATGGTAGTTTAGTTTTTAGAGCCCTATCAGGAACGGTATGTAAATTGTTTTTTTTTCCATCCCATCAGGAACAGTACCGACGATCCATCAGGAATAGTATTTTTGCGATAAAAAAATACTGTATTTATAATTAATCGGGTATTTTAATAAATATTTATAATTGACATTCTCAAATAATTCTAAATCTGAATATAAAAACTAATTGTTTTAGAATTTCAAAAAAATTTGAGCATCAGCTATAACAATTATTAATACACATCACTCTAATTATACCGACATCTGAATACGACATCCTAGTAAAGTCTTTCTATATCGACATTTTTCTCAAAATTTTAATATAAAATGTCGGTATAACTCCTCATTGTAACGACATTTTGAATTTTTTTTACTAATGAAAAAAATTGTCGATATATCCAGAGTAACGTGATAGAAAAGAAACCTTCATTTAGTAAAATTGATTTTCTGTTTACAAACAATTCTTTTTAAATTGTTGTTACTCATATATAGATACAATGTAATAATGTACAAATAAAACTTTAAAATATTGTTCATTCATTTCGTGAAGTTCCAGCTTCAAACCCTACTAATTGATCGTTTAACTCTTTAATCTTATTTTCCCGTTGCTGAGTCCATCCCTCCATTTCCTTAACCTGTTTGTCATAATTTGCACGCTCTTCATTCAATTTTTCCTAATAATATTTTAAGGTTGTAAGAAAATGTACCGAAAAAATGCACCAAAATTTAATAAATTACCTTCAGTTGAGACAATTCATTTTGTAATTTCACATTTTCCTGTTCTGATCGCAATTTTAGATTTTCTGAATCAACCAATTTGTCTTGAATGACCTTTAAGGATTTATTTAATTGTACCGACTTTTTATCCGCTAATTGTAACTATAAACATAGAGAGTTAACCATTGAGTTCCGCATTAAATATACTTCGTATGTTCTATAGAATATCAAACATAATTAACCTGATCTGTTAATTGGGTTATTCTAAATTCATAATGTTTTTTGATAAGTGTTTCTCGTTCATCTTCGTTTTTAGAAGAACGCTAATTGTAAAAAAAAAATAAAAATTCATCATTAAAAAAAAGAGATCTATGACATTTGCTAATAAAATGTACCATTTCTAATTACTCACCCCTATATCACGTTCCAACGTATTAACACCTAAATTACCGTTATGGCTGGCGTTAGAGTCAGTATCAGTTGCAGATTTTGATTGCTCAGTAATAATGGTTGTTGAATGTGATGCATTCTCGATTGATTGACCTGAAGATTCAAGATTTTCTTGTTTTTCAGAGTCAGTTGGGTAAACAAACTGTTATTATATAAAATTTATCCTTCATTAATAACAATTATCGATCATAAAAAACGTCACTTCAATAATTTTAAAAAAGAAGACCTCAACATTATCATCATCTTCATCTTCATCTTGAGATGCTAATTTAGGAATTGATAAAGGATTACTGTATTTTTCAGACACTTCTCGATTATTTATTCATTTAATAATTTTTCATTGTTACCAGCACAGTTTTCGACATCATCGTCTTCACTACGTTTCTAGAAAATGCGTAGAAATATTAGAAAATATACAATCGATCGTATGCAGTTATCTAATATATTCACTTTTTGTATATTCAATTCCTCTTTTAACCGAGTGATTTCAGCTTCCAGAGTCGCAACCCTATTTGTGTCATATTCATTCATTTTAACAAGCTTCTCTTTTTCCGCCATCAATTCGGATATCCGATCTGTTTGAAAAAAAAAACAGTTAATGAAAGACTTTATGACAACACACAGAAAAATAAAAATAAAATTTATATATACTTTGAGCGGATGCCAATTTCACTGCCAATGTTTGTAGATTTTGTTGCCATACTTTACTAGCATTTTTGACATTTAAGCCTAGTTCATAAGAAGATTCCGACTATATCATACATTTAATTGTATTTAGCTAAAGATACACCAATTTAAAGAAAGATGATTAACTTATTCTTACCTTCTCCTCAAGAGATTTCAGGTAATCTCTAGCATTTAATTGCAACTTTCTAAAGCTTTCAATAAGTTCATTAGATTCATTATCAATTCTATCATGTAATTCCTGTAAAAAAATATTTATGTGAAAAAGAGTCTAGCTTTAAAAAATTCTTAAATGCAAAAAATTACAAACATTAAATTTATTCATCTGTGATTCGTAAGAATTCTCAATGTCTATAGACAACGTATCCCTAAGTGCAATCATTTCAGCTCGCAATGTATCATCTCCTCCTTTCAATCT